AAAATTAAGTTTCTCCAATCTTCCCAAAACTCTGGATTCTGATAGAGGGCCATGAGACTTAGACCTGAGTGCAAAAATGGAGGCTCTAGCCCTTCCAGAGCTGAGATATCGAAACTCAAAAATTGGGCCCGAAAAAAAAACGACAGTGGTACCCCTTACGTTTTTTTTTTTTGGGAAAAAAATTAAGTTTCTCCAATCTTCCAAAAACTCTGGATTCTGATAGAGGGCCATGAGACTTAGACCTGAGTGCAAAAATGGAGGCTCTAGCCCCTTCCAGAGCTGAGATATCGAAACTCAAAATTGGGCCCGAAAAAAAAACCGACAGTGGTACCCTTTACGTTTTTTTTGGGGCGAAAAATTAAGTTTCTCCAATCTTCCCCCTGGATTCTGATAGAGGGCCATGAGACTTAGACCTGAGTGCAAAAATGGAGGCTCTAGCCCTTCCAGAGCTGAGATATCGAAACTCAAAAATCGGGCCCGAAAAAAAAACGACGACAGTGGTACCCCTTACGTTTTTTTTTTTGGGCGAAAAAATTAAGTTTCTCCAATCTTCCTCTGGATTCTGATAGAGGGCCATGAGACTTAGACCTGAGTGCAAAAATGGAGGCTCTAGCCCTTCCAGAGCTGAGATATCGAAACTCAAAAATCGGCCCGAAAAAAAAAAACGACAGTGGTACCCCTTACGTTTTTTTTTTGGCGAAAAAATTAAGTTTCTCCAATCTTCCCAAAACTCTGGATTCTGATAGAGGGCCATGAGACTTAGACCTGAGTGCAAAAATGGAGGCTCTAGCCCTTTCCAGAGCTGAGATATCGAAACTCAAAAATTCGGCCCGAAAAAAAAACGACAGTGGTACCCTTACGTTTTTTTTTTTTTGGGCGAAAAATTAAGTTTCTCCAATCTTCCCAAAACTCTGGATTCTGATAGAGGGCCATGAGACTTAGACCTGAGTGCAAAAATGGAGGCTCTAGCCCCTTCCAGAGCTGAGATATCGAAACTCAAAATTTTGGCCCGAAAAAAAACCACAGTGGTACCCCTTACGTTTTTTTTTTTGGGCGAAAAATTAAGTTTCTCCAATCTTCCCAAAACTCTGGATTCTGATAGAGGGCCATGAGACTTAGACCTGAGTGCAAAAATGGAGGCTCTAGCCCCTTCCAGAGCTGAGATATCGAAACTCAAAAATTGGGCCGAAAAAAAAAAACGACAGTGGTACCCCTTACGTTTTTTTTTTGGGCGAAAAATTAAGTTTCTCCAATCTTCCCAAAACTCTGGATTCTGATAGAGGGCCATGAGACTTAGACCTGAGTGCAAGAATGGAGGCTCTAGCCCTTTCCAGAGCTGAGATATCGAAACTCAAAAATTCGGGCCCGAAAAAAAAAAGACAGTGGTACCCCTTACGTTTTTTTTTTGGGCGAAAAATTAAGTTAGGCCACTTAGGCCGGAGTTTTTAGAAATAATCTGTGATAAAAATGATGTGTTCGTGTAAACGAGAGGCCAATCCGCAGGAAAATATCTGCATTTTCCCGTCGTGTAAACGGGGCCTGAGTGGATTTTTATCATTCTAGGGTGGTTTTGCTCACACACTGCCAACACACATTTATGTTCAAACACCATGTAAAAGTAAATTTTGCATAATAGGTGAACATTGTGTGTGATTTCAGTCAGTCAGCTACACAGATTTACATTTCTGACAGAAAACAGGCTTGCAGAGCAGCAGAAGAACCAATATTTTAGAGAGATCAGAGTATTTGTGCTTTCTCTCGCCATCATTCATGGGTTTCTTCTTTTACTGAGGATATGAATAAACGCTAGTGAACTTTAAGAGTGAAAGCAGCGTCAGATATAAAGCATTTTCACATTACTTCAGTCGTCGTAGTTGAGCCCAACCATTAGTGAAAGTTAGACTGGTTTTTCACTCTATCATTGTTGGTTCATCGTGTGTTTAAGGTCATTCCAGTTTCACACGTTGGGTCAAATAGTGTGTGTGTAATCTCAGGCATTTCCTCCGTTAGATCAACAAGCTTTAAGATGTGTGTTTCTCCAGTGTGTGCAGTGAATGAAGAGCTCTTTAAACACGGCAGTGGAAACTTGTGAAACATCTGTCAGTCTGTGTGTTATTCCACAAACTTCTGCTTTGACCTGCAGACCAAACACACACTCCTGTCAGTAACGTAAGTTCTTCAAGATTTATTCCTCCTTTAATAAACCATTGTACACTTGCAGCTGTGCTGGACTGAATATTCACAACAACAGCATTCTTGCTTCTGTCATATTGTTCAAATGGAGGATTTACAAACTTTAATCTGACATTTCACGTATTTAAAGCTTTCTAACATTACACACACTCCTCTAAACAACATGTCAAGCAAACTGAGCAAACTTTCAACAATCACACAGAAAACAACTTATGTGTTATTATTATATATTATTGAGTTATTATAAACACATTATTTTCCCTGTTGGTTTTAATAAAGATAAATATATGATTACAATAGTAAATGAAAGCATGTTTTTAAACTAATGACTGGTTTGTTATTTAGTGCCTGTGAAGACAATGGGACAAAACACCAGCATCAGCGGATCAGGTGGAGGAGGTTATAATATCAGCGGATCAGGTGGAGGAGGTTATAATATCAACGGATCAGGTGGAGGTTATGATGAACGGATCCGTCAAATGAGGGAATTTTACAGGAAACTTGATGCTGCAGAACCAATCATTTTCAGGACCATTGCCGGCATTGAGATTGTAGTCATGATCGTAACTCTGTGTGCGTTGTGTGCTCTTCTCAAATCTCAGCGCTCCACTCCAGTGTTTGTTATTCATTTGATTCTGTCAGATCTCATTCAGATCATTTGTATATTAACATGGACAGTCACAGGGTCAGGGGATGCAGATAATGCATATTATTATAGTTTGATTGTGGGTCTGTATTTTATGGCATGTGTTGCTCTTGAACGATATCTTCTGGTTTCTCATCCTATCTGGTACAGAACTCATCATTCACTGAAAGTCTGCTGTGTTATTTCTGTGATCGTCTGGTTTGTTCCTCTGATCTTTGCAGACTTTAACTACTATCGGCTGTTTACACCTCTGTCCCGAGCGATCGCCTTTTTAATCCCCTACCCGATAATCATTCTGTGTTTTATCGGCACTTGTCTCGGTCTTTCACGCGCAATATCTCTTACTTCTGTAAAGCGCAGAAAGATTTTGGGCAGTTTGTTCCTGGTGCTTCTGACTTACACTTTTCTCATTCTCCCCAACATAATCCTGATCATTATACAGGAGTTTTTCCATGATTACTTTTATTCTTTCTATGATTTGTTTTCTATATTTTGGAGTTTGTCTGTATATCTCCTGTTCCTGAACCCGCTGGCTGACTGTGTCCTGTACATGTTCATCAGGCCTGATGTCGGAGGGTTAATGAAGTCTGTTCACTGCTGTTGTAGAACTGACACACATCAGGATTCGACACACACACGGGACGAACACTCTGGAGTCAGTAGTGCAGCGTTTGCCTGCTGTGTTTCAGTGCTAAAGCCTGTGTCTCATTCACGGACCTGCACTTCAGTTTCAACATCATGAAGTCAATGCCATTCTGTTCACTCACACACCCGTCCTTTCTATGGCATTCAGCTTTATTAGAGACAACTCTTGATTCATCAATTGCTCTGTTTGCGGCCCATAAAACACATGCGGTGAACAGAGTTTTATTAAAGATGTGTTGATGTAGTGTTGATGCTTCTGCTGGCGTTCTGGATCAGCAGGACTTTATCATACGATGGAGAGGAGGGTTGTATAAAGCACGGTTTATTCTCTCTTCATTCCCCCGATAGACTGACAGATCAACAACATCAAGTAGTTTCAGCTCGTAGTCTTGCTTGTGTTCCTAATGCATCTACATTATACTCTTTTACCTAATAACTACTATTCACGCTATTATTCATCTATTATTACACGCTATTATTCGCTATTATTCAAATAAGGATTGGAGCCTAAAATAAAACATTTCTCTCTCTCATTCAAATGGGCTGTTTGGGCGGCGAGATCAGTCGTACATGTCAAGGAATAGAGGGGTCCAGAGAATATAGCAGGTAAATCTTTTAATGAAAAATAAGACACCGCCTCACAGGCTAAATAAACAGAAAAGGTCTCTTTCGCAAAAGGAAAACTGAGTGATGCTATTCTAATAGTTCAAACGAAGAGCGACAACCTCAGCCGGAGAACCTAAAGGCTCGGATGTAATGAAGTCAGGACAGCGGGCTTGAAGGCGGACCCTCTGCTACACTCCACGGTGATGGCTGGGTACGGCACAGAAGTGGTAAAACACAGCAGTAGATAACTGTGACGTTCTGACACTCAAGACAGGACAGGACTGGGGAGACAACTGTCTATGTAGCGATCAAACGTGCATGAAGCTCAAACAATAATCTGACAAATCAGACAAGAAAGAGAGAGCTAGAAGCAGCATGGAAATAAGGGGAAGATAGAGAACAGGTGTGTAGTTGATGAGAACATGAGAGTCAGCTGACGGTAATGAGAGGAAGTGATAATGGGTGTGTGTGTGTAAAAGGGGAAAGAGAAGAAATGACGTAGCATAACCAGCAGAGGGAGACAAAGGAAAGAAAACAGAAGGAAAGAACCAGGATCATGACAATATTGACACCATCGGCTGATTATTGATCTTGAGCTTGTTTATGATATTTTTATATAATTAAGTTTGTAACCTCCTATAAATTTAATAATCAGTTTTTCTGCACTGCTTCACTAATGTAGAAGTGAAAGTGTTCCAGTCCAGATGATGTGACCAATCAGAGAGTGAGACTGAAAGCCCATTTGCATTGTCAGGGTGGAGTGATTGTGATCTCTCAGAATAGAGCAGCTCTGTCTCCAGAGACCATGTTCAAACCCCAAGAGCTTTATTTGACATTTACTGCCACATCAACCTTCTGAAAAGCTCCTGCATCTTCATCTGTTAGTTGAATGATGTTGTCAGACACAAAGTGAACTTGTTGAGAAGCTTTATTGAATGTTGCAGCAAACACACACACACACACACACACTGTTTGAGTATTGAGTTGTAAAGCACTCCAGCTGCAGCACTAGACTCATGTGAATCCTGCCTGACACAGGACACTCAGATACGGCTCATCTTCAGGAGAGAAACATCAGCACTCAGAGCTCTTGTGGAACGAGACCTCATGAGGAGCTCCATCATGTGTTACTCTGCAGACGTACAGCTCTCCCTCTTCCCAGCGTGCTTTGCTGAGGGTCAGGACGCTACTGCGGCTGTAGCGGCCGTCCTGCTGGCTCTCTGCGCTGGTCAGAACCCCTCGGTGACCTCTGACCCGTCCAGTGTCCAGCTCACCAGCGCCCCCTGTGGAGAGTAAGAGCTGAGCAGGCAGAGCAGTGCGGCTGAGTCTCCAGAGATCTGCAGAGAAGAGGGCGGCAGCAGAGACACTGAGGGCTTCACTGTGGGACCAGCTGCAGGAGACACACACACACACACACACACACACACCGCATCAATCAAACTAAACATCGGAATACACAGACTGCTTTAATTCAATTTAATTGGATATCCCAAAATAAAGTTACTTTCTACTCAAGTGAGATATTCAACAGATAAAAAACTCAATGTAAAAGTTTGACTCAAGCTCACATAAAAAGAAATGTATATAACTTATAAGAACTAGAAAACAACGTCTGTGTTTGTATTATAAAGCACTGAATTATAAGCACAACATGAGCAAAAGAGATTCAGTATCATTGACTGAACTACAGAAAGGAGCAACATTTACATTCTGATGTCAAATCTCTTTTTACATGTATGATTTCTACAATAAAAGATGAACTAAATATGAACTCAGTGTAGAAATAAATGAAGGAGAAACAAACCTGTAATAAACTGAATAAACTCATAGTGAGACGCAGTATTGAGATATGCTTAGAATTGTATTGATTTTTTTAAAGGAATAATGCTATTCTGATAATAATAACATTGTTTTAGATTAAATAATTATACAAAAATATCAGTGACACTTTAATTAAAAACCGAATATATATTGCATTATAAAATTATTTACATTAAATTACACATTATAATGCATTTATGATCTCATCAATAATTGTAACCACAGTTTTAACAGTTTTTAAATATTATCTATTCATTGTCGCACCTTAAAAAATTATAATACTTTAAAACTCATGTCAAACAACCAATTTCAGATGTAATAAGACATTTTTAAGAACTATAATCCATTTTAAATGTGGTTGCAATTATTTAAGAAAATATATGGTGCATTATAACATACATTATAAAATTATGTTATATTAAGGCTTCAAGTAAAGTTTGCCACAATATCAAATAATCATTATTATTAATAAATGTTGTTCTTGTTTCAACTGTAAAACACTTTCTGAAATCTAAATTGTATTTATGTTTGAAATATGTAATTAAAAAGACTTACATCTGATCACCAGTTTAGTTCCTCCACCGAATGTGTACCACAGTGATCCAATCTAATGAAACACTCGTACAAAAACCTCTATTCCACTCGAGTGAACACACACTCCAGCAGAGAGAGAGAAACAACACTTCAACACACTGATATTAGAAGATCCTCAGCTCTTCTCAACACTCACTCATTCAGATTTGACTAAATGCTTTCTGATATAACACTGTTTAAAGAAATATATGTGATGAGCTGTGACCTCTGAGGTGACCTTTGACCTCTTTGATCATGGATGATGTTGTGTTTGAGTTTCTCATAATGATGCTTCTGTTCTTCATATGCAGATCAATCATCATGATTGACAGAAAAACCTGCAGCTTCACACTTCAATCTTCAGTGAGAATCTGTTCAAATAATGACTTTATTGAATATTAGAGCCAAAGTCAATAGAAAGTGTGACAATGAAGATCTCAAAGTTGTGTTTTGCATGTTTTCATATTCAAGGTGTGTTATAAAAGTATCTGGACTGGTTCTGAATCTCATGAAACGTGAACAAGCTCTAATATGTGTCCATCTTTAACAGCCTGTTTCTTCTCCATCTGATGATTTCAGACACACATGAGGCTTCATGATAGATGGAGTGACACCATGAACTCTGATTAGAGATTCACAATCAGTCCTGATACTTTCTGAACACACTCATGATTCATGATCTTACTTTAGTGATGGCGCTTCATCTAGTGGAAGTGTAGCAGTGATGATGGTCACATGACTGAATATGGACACAGAGATGGACGTTCATCTGCACATCCTCAGTGTCTCAGGAGTCACAATAAACACACTAAATAAAGTCATGATTGTGTAACTCTAGTGTATATGAGTGTGTTGTCAGCACAAGCTGTTGTAAATCCTGCCCACTTCTTTGCATTGTCAGCACATGCTTCAGTGCTCTGAGAGTGTTTATAGTGCTGTGAGTTTAACACTTCATGACTGAGAGCAGAACACACACACTCTTCATCATCACACAAGACTAAACTACAACTATGAACAACATCTGCATCTTCATCTGGACCATTGCACTGTTTGCTCAAGGTTTGTGTAATTCTGTTTTTTTACAGCAATTATTAGTTCTCTTAAAATGTAAAAATCTATTTGTTTGTCATTTATTGTATATCATCATATATATAATTCATTTTTGTGTGTGTTTTCTTCCAGAGTGTAGAGGACAGATCACTGTAACTCAGAGTCCATCAATATCAGCAGTTCAACCAGGAGAACAAGTCAGAATAAACTGTAAAACCAGCAGTAATACTCATTTAGCCTGGTACTCACAGAAACCTGGAGAAGCTCCTAAACTCCTCATATATTATACATCATACCGTTATACTGGAACTCCATCTAGATTCAGTGGCAGTGGATCTGGCAGTGATTTTACTCTGAGCATCAGTGGAGTCCAGACTGAAGATACAGGAGATTATTACTGTCAGAGTTATCACAGTGGTGGTGTGTTCACACAGTGATAAAGAGTCGTACAAAAACCTCTGTCAGTCAGACGTCACAGTGACTGCACTGATACAGCTGAGAGAAACTGCAGCTGCTGATGGAGGATCACACACTACACAATATCAAACCTTTCACACACTTTATTCATTTATTTAAGATATAATCTAATATCTCTTACTTAAATGGACACAAATGTGGAGTGTACGGATCTCCAATGTTTGGCATAAAATGTGGTTAATAGTGGATAATTTGACGCGCTTCCCTGTAAAAGTGTCTGTTATCAGCAGATTGTGTTCATGTGTGCCCAGACAGTTTAGAAATCCAGACCAGCTGATGTTTTATGGCCAATCATCTTCAGCAATTTGACATTAACACACACGCCACATGATCCTGTGTGTGATGTGTTACCCACCTCAGTAGACATACCTCCACATGATAAAGTTGTCCGGCTCCGATAATAACAAATGCACATGAGCGGCAGAAGGGGGGAGGAGGGTGCCGCAAATGAGGGATTTACGACAGTGTTGTGAAATATACGTCCCTCAGCTGTAGGGGGAGCTCGTAGAGACAACACGCAACAACAAAAGTGAAGATCAGCCAACAAATGGCCAGAGTTGCCAAGTTCCCCTTTAAAGCTCATAAACTGTGATATAAGAAATCATTTATTTTCTGCCTAACCTGTAAAGTCACGTCCACAAACCTCTTGCGTAGTATAGGATGGAAATAAAAATCTACCAACACGATATTGGCAGTATAGTGGTAGTGGGGAGTGGGATGGTGATGGTAATAAATAATAAATGGATTACACACATACACACACCCACACTCACACCCGCTCACATACACACTTAGATCAAACACTTAAATCACTCTTGCCACTGCTGGAATTATGGATTTACAAGATTGCTCACTACTGCACTATGTTGGTTTGTTTGTATGTATGCCTGACTGTTAAATAAAAAAGAAAAGAAAAAAAAGAAAAGGTGCAGACCTGGATGCGGGCGCTTGGGGGCGGCGATGTAGGAAACTGCCGTCCAGTCTGTTAGGTGCGGGCTCTTTTGGCCACTTGAGGCCGAGTTGGTCGACGGCCATGGAGAGGAGGCGCATAATTACCGCATCCATGCCAGCATGCGTGTGGCCAGATTCCTGGAGGCGGAGTGGTGAGAACCCAACCAATCCTCACTGTCTAAGGCCAGGATAGAGCAGCTGTCATCTGAGGTGTCGCCTTCCACCCCTGAAGCGACGGCAGGGAGGGGGGGCGGAGAAGGCGAGGGAGAAACTCGAGGGAGAGGCTCTGGCGAGCGCTTAAATGCAGCATCAGGCTCGAACGGTCTTTGAGAACGGCGCTTCTTCCTGTGCAGTTGAACACGCACTGTAGAGCAAAGAATACTATCGCCGGATAGAGCAGCAGACACGGATGGCTGAAGGCGGCGAAGACGACCGGCTTCCTCTGATGCTTTCCTCTGCTTCCTGGTCGCTGGTTTCGACTGCGGCGGCTTCTCTCAGGATCCAGCTATGCGTAGAGCTTCACGGAAGAGATGAAAATCAGGAAAGCAGTCTGTGAGCCGAACTCTTATATGCTAAGCCACACCCATTCTGGCGGGCTGTGATACGAAGCACCCTCATTGGGCGTGTCGTCACGCCAGGCTCATTGGTAGGCTGCTGCAGTTGCCGCAGTGCAGCCAATGAGCACGCTAGATGCAACACTTTAAAACACACAAATCTGAACATAACCTCCAACAACTCAACTACAGGAGACACTGGAGACCGGAGGGGGGCATGGTAAAGCCTACGTTCTAGTGCCTCCAGTCTACACACTCCCATATAAGATAACCAACACGAAGGGGAAAAATCCCATACTACATATGGAGAAGAACACCCATTTTATGCAGGTCTTTTCCTTTACAGGGAAAATGATCAACTGAAAGGATTTTTTCCTGTTTTAATAAAATACCTGAACACTCTTCAGAATGTGTGTGAGTTTGTGCTGGTGGTGTGTAGTAGTAGTGTACTCAGAGTGTGTGTGAGTTTGTGCTGGTGGTGTGTAGTAGTAGTGCACTCAGTACCACAGAACATGGACGCAGCCTGAGCCTTTTACAAGACAGGAGTGGATGACGCTCTTTTATAAACAGTTCAGTCTTGGTCAGCAGTAAGGTACATTTTCAACTTAGACGAGCCCACCACTCGAAGCAGAAATATAAACAGTAACATTTGTGTTATATTAGAAGTGGTTTGTGGCATTAATCATAATAAATTAATGCTGATGGGAAATGAGGAAATGTTCCATCTCTACTGAATCTCTTAGTAACAAGCTTTCAGGAATAAAGCTTTTGAAAACGGAGGAAAAAATCCCCCACATCCACTCAATAGGAAAGTGTTTTCTAATGGCAGAAACCAAATCAATTATGATCCTCAGCAGAAGAGCTTCAGGTTAAATCCTTCATGATGGACAATTTAAAGAACGTTTAACAACTCTATTGTTTATCATTTAAGATATTATAATCTTCTAAATAATCAGATGTGAAATATATGCACCACACCACTTTTGTGTTCACGATGATTATTTTGCACGCTTGTATTTCAGAGTACGCCACAGCTCCTGCACAAATCTGTGGAACAGCCAATCAGAGCAGAGCTCAAGCAACATTATTATTCATGACCCTTCCAGATAAGGAAATGACATCCCATTTCACGCAGGGACAAATCCTAGAGTTATAAATGAAAATGTAAAACATATAAAAGCTCAACTGGACGATCTTTACCTTTACTTAAGCCACACACCTTCATGTAGATATCAGAGGACAATTAAAATATTCCATCAATGCATTCTATGGCGCCTTTAACACAACATCATCTAACATTCGGAACGCACATTTTGTAATGGTTTGTAAATTAACAGAAATGGCCATTTCTCGTGTGGAGACAGTTCATATACTTTACATTTATCACTACGTCAAGTGTTAATAACTAGAGTCAGACTCAGATCAGTGGAACATTATTAAAGCGTAGGGCAGAATCAAAATAACTCAACGTTTACTGACAGATTCATTCACAAACATCAGTGTCTTTTTTATTTATTTATGTTATTATTATTGTATTTTGTTTAATGTGTTTATATATTGCATGGTTTCTCTTTATGCTTTTTATGCTTGCTCTCCTCGGGTTGTCGTGGTGGAGAGCCTTGCATGTTCCGATGAACCTGAGAGCAATGCCGTCTGGAGTTTAAGCTCCTGGTAGGGTCACCCATGGCGGTAAGGTCGAGGGGGAGGTTCCAGACAAAGAGCGACCCAAAGGGAATTACCATCATACCTCAACAGAGAAGGAAAACTCTGTACAGACTCCATCACCACTGCCTTGTGGTTAGCCCCAGGAAAAGCAAAAGGCTAAGGGAGTAAACCCCAACAGAAAATCAGGAGCTGAGCCCCTTAGGCGGATGGTGAAGGAATTTGTCACCATCCGGCAACTCCTGCAGCTGCGCTGACACCTGACTGTGTTGGCTCGCCTTTCTGCTAGATTCTGCCAGCAAAGCCAAGAGGGGGGTCCTGACGTCTGGGCAACCCAGGATCTCAATATTATTAGCCCAGGCCTGCACCTGGAAAGGTCACTCCAGCTGCACTGTTTCAGTGCAGAAACAACACGGGGAGCAGCAGTTTACCAGTGATAAGTCATGGCTCATTTGGCGTCGAGCCAGGCACTAGGGGTTGCTCCCGACGGTGAGAGGGTGATCACGGGAGATTTGTAACTAATTTGCGCTATAACTAGTGGATCACGAGTTGCCCAACAGACAGATCAATAGATAAACTCATCTTTCAGGCATTTGACTGACCCATAGCTGTCAACATCAAAGGGAGATTTCCCAGGAACCATCCCCAAAATAAGTTTTTTTTTTCTCACAATTCTTACTCACAAACTTAAAATAAATCACTAATCAAAAAGTCTAAAGAGTTTAAAACTAGCCCACATATGTGTGAAAAAGAGCACTGTGTCATTAAAAAAAATACCATAGAGAATGTTTAAATACTAAGATCAGCTTACGAGGGAAACGGGGAGGCTGCTTCTGCTGGAGATGATTGGGAGAGGTCTCTGCACCTTGAGGTCTCTGCGCGCGCTGACATGGAGGTAAAGCCTTGTTTATACTCGACGCGTCTGCACAAGCGCGGTAAAAATGACGCGTTGGGTGCGCAAGACCGGCAAGACCTCACTTCGAGCTGTGTGCAAAGCTATTTTGTTACAGCGCGCGCGGAACCGCATCCGAGGACGATCGACTTCAAGCCGAATCTGTCCGAGCTTGTACGTCTCACACAATCAGGGTGTAAAAATACGAGATATTTTATGGGAAATACTAACATGGGAAGACAGTAAAAGAGCTAAAATACGTGAGAAACCCGGAAAAACGGGAGGGTTGACACTTCAGCGTGAGAAAGAAATCGGGATGGTTGTGGCGTGTGAGCGTGTGAAACCAATCAAATGCGGGTATCTCACGGCCAATGCGTGAGAGTTGGCAGCTATGTTT